TTTGTAGGTCAATCCCCTTTTCTTCCAGAGAGAAATTTCTCTTCCTTAGAGGAAACTGAGGCCAAGACGAGTTAAGGGACTGTAGGTGGTCACTGCATCACACTGCCTCCCCCCAAATCACAACACATATTTTATATTTAAGGCTTACAAAACACGTTCCTTCCTTAAAGTATTATCATCCCTGTTTTTCAAATGAGAAACTTGAGGAAGGTTCTAAGAAATTAAGTGACTTAGCCATGATCATACTATTATTATGTGTTTGAGGCAAAATTTGAACCTGGTCTTCTGACCCCAATGACATACTCTTTCCATTATGTCACAATCCTCTTAGTTGTTACACTACTAGCCCTAGCTCTCTTGGGATCTATCTTTAGTGATTTTCACAGCAATCTAGATAGTGAAGTGAAAGACCCTGAATCCATGTCATATGAGGATTAATTGATGGAACTGGGGATATTTAGTCTGGAGAAGAGAAGATTCAGGGAGGGCATAATGGTTTGCCTCTGGTATTTGAAGGGTTTTCATGTGGAAGGAGGATTCAATTTATTCTGTTTGGCCACAGAAGGCAGAACCAGGATAAGTGGAAGTTTCAAAGACGCAAATTTTGGCTTGATGCAAGGAAACCTTTCCTAACAATTAGAATTCTCTGTAAGTGGAACAGACTGTTTTGGGAGGGGTTCTCCATTATTGGAAGTCTTCAAGCAGAGAGTAGATGACCACTTATCCAATATGCTACAGTGGATATTCTTTTGTGGGGATGGATGGGACTAGGAAGCCACAGAGGATCCTTCCAACTCTAAAATTTGGTGATTTCGTGAAATGAGGCCACTTGGGAGTCAGAGGACTTTGGCTCCCTGCAGACTCGGCCATCAAGTAGCTCTGTGACTTTAACTTCTGTCACTTAACCTCCTTGAAGCTCAGGTTCATAAGTGCCCTCCTCATCTCACTGGGTTGTTGAGTGGTATAATGTGTAGAAATCCTTGGTAAACTAAACTGCTTTACTAATCTAAAGTCATTACTACATAGATAGATTGCTGGGCCTGGAGTCAGGAAGACTGGAGTTCAAATACAGTCTCAGATACTTACTAGCTGTGTGACCCCTGGGCAAGCCACTTAATCTCTATCTGCCTTAGTTTCCTCAACTGCAAAATGGGGATCATAATAGCATCTATCTCACTGGGTTGTTGTGAGGATCAAATAAGATATTTGTAAAGTACTTAGCATAGTGATCAGCACACAGTAGGCACTGAATAAATGCTTATTTCTTTATCCCACATTGATTACTATTCTGTTACCTTTGCTCTTTGATAGCTACAAGGAATTTTTAGCTCCAGCCCCTTCCTCATTTAAACTTTGGGCCACACCCATATCCCCATTCCCAGAAGTGAGAGCCTAGTACCTTTGTGGGGACTGAATTCCACCCAATATTCTACCATTTTGCTTGCTCAGCTTTTACCTGGAAAAATGACTGCATATTAATCCCTGCCAGTTAACCCAATTAAAACTGTTAAAAAATTAGAATGATTCATATAATAAGCTCACAAGCTAATTTAATTGATCTCTTCTTAAGCATTCTGCATTGTTTTTGTTGGTGGTGGGTTTTTTGTGGAGAAGGAAGGGAGACATCTTGGTCATTTGCTCTGCAGCATTTTATTCTTTTAGCAGATTGTTTTGTCTGGTTTTCCCTTGAGTTGGTGAAAATGTATTTGCATTTTCATTCTGATTATTTGTCTAAGGTTTTTTGGCATTCTTTCACATGGTTCAAACCATTTATGCCTTTCAGGGACATTACGCAAATTTCTGATACTATAATTTACCTCCCTTTTTCTTCCTTTACACTTATTTAGTTCTTATGACTTTCAATTAAAATGTCCTTGCAAACCACAGTTGTATAAGGGTTTTTTTTTTCCTGGCTGTAGCTTTTTACATATTAAAGAAGTTAATTTCATTTTCTGATCTGCAAAAAATGAATAAGTAAGCCTTTTCACCTGATTAGTAGAAACTCTGTTATGCGTGAATGGCTAGAGTGAATAAGAATATCAAATGAAACAGACAATGTGTAAGATTGGATTAATAGTACACGCCTTACAACAGCATTATGAAAACTGAGCAGTTGATATTTTAAAAGCAAATGTTTTAATTTGTGTAAAGAAAAGGGCAATATACAAATGTGCATTTCATGCCCTAAGAGGAATAAGAGATATAAGCAAGGAAGAGTCTGATAGTGAGATAGGTCTATCAATAAAGGGGAAAGATTGATCAATCCTCCCTCAGCCATTTGACTATGTTATTCAATAAATAATTGGTTGGAAAGAGGTGGAAGTGGTAGGGTGCCATGTATAATCCCTTCTAAAAGTGGTTCTCAAATCGTGTGGTCAAAGTCCACAGTTGAGAAAATCCTTCTCCGCTGAGAAGCAAAACAGTGTCCCTTAATCCTTCTGTATTTGTCTTCCTCTTTCTCTCTTTTTAGAAGGCACCTAGGTGACTCAGAAGATAAAACAATAGGTTGAGAATCAGGAAGACATGAGTTCCAATTTGACCTCAAGTTCTTACTAGCTGTGTGACCCTGGGGCAAATCACTTGTTTGCTTCAGTTTCCTCAACCATAAAATGAAGACAATAACAGCACCTATCTTTCAGGGTTGTTGTGAGGATCAAATAAGATAATATTTGTAAAGTAGTTAGCATAGTACCTGGTACATAATAGATACTATACAGATGCTTATTCCCTTATCTTCCTCTTTTTCTAGGAAGAATATAAGATTTGAGAAAGATGTTGGGCTGTTAATTTTTTCTTTAATTTTGCAAAAGAAAAGGTTTGAGGGCACAGGAGAACAATCTTCTCTAGTTTCTCCACCAAAGGCTTGGAAAATAAGTAATATGGTCAGAAAGCAAATCCACAGAAAAGTGATGAGAATTTTCTTTTCTTGATGCCATTCCCTACAGTAACTAGCTCTGGCTAGGCTAGGCAGGAAGCCTAAGATCTTGCTATAGGTTTACACTGGGGCACTGTGCTTTCAAGGAGCAGGAGGTATGGAGCTGTATATAGGGATGAAGGAATATGGGAGATATAATTCAGCTGTTACAGGTATTCCTAAAGAGTCATTTCAATTTAACAATCCATGGTGAGGCAATTTGATATTTGTATCACATAAGGAATCATTTACATGATTTCTTAGTATTCTTGAATTCTTAGTATTTATTAGTTTCTATATTTATTTTTCCATGATAGAAAATTAGGCCAATATACCCTCTAAAATAATTCACATTTAAAATGTATGTAGCACCTTGTTTCCAGGACCCTCAAAGTACTCCACATTTATTATCTCAGTTTTTCCACGATAAAGCCTTGAAATAAACAGGACCAGCTGGTTTAAAAAAATATGGAGAAATAGTGCCCACAAGAACCATTGTCAGAATCTGGACTTGAACCCAGTTCATTTACCTACCAGTCTAATGCATTCTTCCTTGGGAGATTTTGCTCTTTGTAGGAAGCATCATTCCTTACTCATGAATAACTAATCCAACTGACACATTTTTATGGACAAAAGCAGGCACAGCCTAGTGGCCTGATGCCCTGTCTGAAACTGACTCCTGGTCTTGTGTACCATATGCAGTCCTGGGTGGTCAAAGTATGGACAAGGAAATGGAGACATTTAGGCAGCTGAGGTAGAGGTTAAGGGTAAGTGTACAGATGCTCAACTTCATTACTCCATCAAACTTTAACATTCATAAGTTTCTTTACACCTAAGATCAGAATATAGTACTCTGAAAATGAAGAAATTCATCTTCTTGAAAGTGTGAATTGTGTCCACAGCCCTGCATACATGCCCACACCTCTAATATCCTTTATAATTACTGCTGAGATTATTTGTAAAACAAAACCCCAATACTCTTCAATTCTGCTGGGTTCAAGGGCTGCAAACTCATTTCAGTTCAGCACCAGACCTAGGGACAGAGACGCCATAAACCAAATCCCTTTTTCATCAATTGATAAAAATCACCATCTCGTGTGTGTGTGTGTGTGTGTGTGTGTGTGTGTGTGTGTGTGTGTGTGTTCTAAAAGGGCTAGGAAGAAAAGTCCGGTTTCTACAGGTATTTGTCAAATTCATTTATCAATTTAAAATATAAATAACCATCCAATACCCTCCCATTTAATGAACCTCTCTTCAGATGGGGAAAAATGTCTTGGCTCTGCCAACAGCAAATATCAGTGACCTACATATAGAGAAAGGGGTCCTCAAATAAGATTATCTGGCTGAGAAGTAGCAGAGATTTTTTCAAAAAAAGCATTTCTTCCACGCATTCTCAATGCTTTCTCCCACGATTTTCAAATATACTCCTGTGCCATATAAATGGGATTTCCTAAGGGATGTGTATTTTAGTTCGTAGTTGGGAGAGGAGAGTGTTTGGCAAAGAGAAAACACCAAGCACAATACATTTCTCAGTGCTGTGCAAATAAAAGGCAAACCTTCCGCAAATACATGTGAATTAGAAATATGTATATGTATATATACATATATGTATATATATATTTACTAATACTCTCAATGAAATGCATATTTATTTTACCCTAAAAGCATGCCAGCACGGCTAAGTAGTTAGGACAATGCTCTTCCGAAAATATAAAAACATTTCTCAACAACCCCCCCCTCCTCATGTTTTTATTTATGTCCTTTGGGCTACAAAAGAGCTAGAGATCATTTCTGTAGTTCCAAAGACATACATACTTTCCAGTTGGAGTTTTTCTTTTGTTCTTGGCTTGCTCATCCTCCCTTATCTTGATCACCATCCCCCACATAAAAACTCGGAAAAGGTTTCGCGTTTCTTTTTTAAATTGCATGCATTCATGCTTTGCCGATCTCGAAGCCCCTGTAATTTAGCTAGGAGGATCCCCTCATCTCTTTAATACTGACGATCACGGCTCCAGGTTGCATCCGACCTCCAGTCCCCTCCCCAAATCTACCCCTGCCCACAGAGCATGCTGCTGCCTCAACTTACCGGGTGCTGGATACCTGGGGCTGCTGGAGAGAACTAGGAGAGAGGAGAGTCGCTCACGCACGGGCTTTGTCTCCAAAGCAGATCACTAGGGTGGTGGCGAGACACTGTGGCATCGCTCTTCATTTAGAAGTGGGGGCTCAGTAAGCAGCAGCTACGGAAGCAGCAGCAGCAGCAGCGGCGGCGGCGGCGGCGGCGGCAACAGCATCACTGGCAACAGCAGAAGTGGGAGGCGCGCAGGCTGGATGCAGCCGAGCCTCCCCTAGCACATAATGAGAGGCAGGCAGACACAGCAGACAGAGCTGCGGGATCGGCAGCTCCCGGGCTCCAATAACGCCTCAGCCCCTAATGGATTCACTATGGAAACGCGCACGCCCTTCGCACCACGACCCTCCCTCTTGCGGCCCCACCCCCAAGGCCGTATCTGCCGCCTCCGCGGCTCTGGCCCCCTCTCCGAAAGTCCCCCCAGCCTTAGTCTCTGCGGCGCGCGCCGCCCACGCGCCTCTCGAGGCCAGGGGATGGAGAAGGAGGCTAGGGAAAGACCACGCGGAAAGGGGGGTGTGTATGTGTGTGGGGGGAGTGTACTGTTGCGACCCACTTCATGCTCATCTCCCTCACCCCACCCTGTGCCCCGGCCCCCCATAACCGTCTTTAGGGGGAAACACTCCCAACACTGGGGACCTTCTCCATCCATCCCCAATATCCCTCTCATGTTTCTCAAGGCTTGGTCATGAAATAGGGAGAGATGTAACCTTCTGCTCCTACCCCCACCCCTCTCGGGCTCCTTTGGTCTACGATGGTCGCGCCCACTTTGCGGCAGGGTCTTTGCCTTTCTCTAGAAGAGTTGAGGAGGAAAAGGAGCAAGGGGGGAAATCCCCGCCCGCTGATTACGTCAGGTGGTGCGTCACTCGGGGCTCCCGCACTGAAAGTCGCTGCGTTCTCGGCGCAGAGCGCACGTGCCCTGGGTTCCCGGGCAGGCGGCCTTGAGAACCAGGCCTCCGGAGGGGGGCAGGGAGGGGAGCTGGAGTGTTTCGGGGGCGTCCGCCTTATTCTTGACCCCCTGGTTTGTTGGATCCGGGCGCGTCCAGTTCGCGTCCGCTTTCACCCTTGGCCATCGAACAAAGTGGATCTTTGGGTGGTGAATGCGTTCCCCCTCGCATGCTTAGCAGCAGTTGTAATTATAATTAAAGCAAGATAAGGTTACAGGAAGTAGAGAGAGCTTTACCAGAAACTGGCGTGGATGGGGGGTGGGGGAGGAGGAATAAGGGGTTAACTAATGTGCTCAGCCAACCCAGTATCTTACTTTCTGGAGCTGTGAAGGTAGGAGAAATAAGGCTGCACCAGGGAGAGAGGATGTGTAGTAGCTGCAGCAAGAGGTAGGATACTGTTACTTAAGCTCCAAAGAAGAAAGAGAATAATACAGTGCAGAAGAGTTGCAGCTTCTGTGGTCAGGAATTCATAAATTAATGCCAGTAGACAACAGAGTATTTTGGGGAGAATGGTTAACCTTAGACTCTGACAAACAATTCCTAAACAGAAAGGGTTTGTGAGTTACAGAGGTTATCTAATGTTTACTACTAGTGCAGCTATGTTTCTTTAGCTAGAAATGTCTCAAGAATGGTGCACTTTGTTTTTTTAGGGCTAGACATTCAGAATCTGCTAATTAAGATATGCAAAAGCATTTTACACAGTTCAGCAAATTATCTGTTTAGGAGAAAAAACTCAGTATTTTGAAGTCTTTTGCACGACATTAGGGCTGATGATTAGAAAATATTTTTTGAAAGTCTTCTCTTCACCCATTCCTATCTCATCCTACCCTAGCAACAGCCTTTAAATGTCAGAGCACTTGTTTCTGAAATGTCTGATCTTCATTGATTTGACATTTGCCCCAGATGATGCACATCTTAGGCAAGTCAGGAATTCTAATAAGATCTATGAGGTCAGAAAGGTTCACTTGGGGCCCAGAAACATCTCACATTGATGTTTTTGGGTCTCTCAGGTGCATATTTGAGGCAGAAAAATAAATTTGGTTAAAGAAATCACATGGCTAAGTGTACAATGTGGTGACATTTTTGACTGAATAACAAGGAAATTCATACATAACCTGTGTTCAGAAGTCAGTACAGAAGCATTTATTGTTTACTAGTTGCTGTACATACAGTACAAGGAAAGGCAAAAACAAGGTCGCTGGTCTTCAGTTCACTTTCTAGTAGGGGAAGCAACACAAATACCTATGTCTGTACTATGACATATACAGTGCAAATAAAGAGTGATCCCAGAAAGCACATGGGGAGGAGGGTGGAAGGGGACATGGAAAGGCCTTCTGAAGGTAGAATCTGAGCTGAGTCGTAACCGAAGCTGGGGAAATTAGGAATTGGAGATGAGGAAGGAAAGCATTTCAGGCATGGAGGACAACCTGTTTTGGCAGGTGAAAGAGCAGAGAGATCCGAGGCAGGCAGACCAGTTAGAAGGCTATTGAAATAGTTCAGGTGAGAGGTGGAGGGTTTGTGCTAGCATGGTGGCTATATGAGAAAAGGGGACATATGTAAGTGATGTTTCAAAGGTAGAAATGACAAGATTTGATGAGAGAATGGATATTGTGGTGAGTGGTGACTAAAAGGATGGTGGTATCCTAAATAATAACAAGATCAAGGTAAATCTTGTCCTTGACTTCTATATCTGAAAGATACCTGTTAGACAAAGGATACTTTTGTTATGTGACCAGATCCGATGGAGAGGGACATTATGGAATTCCAGATTTTTAATATTTTTTCAGGGGAAGAAAACCTTCCAGGTTATGGTAAAGTTGAAGGGTGATTTAAGACTGCAAAATATTTTGCTTGGTGGAGTGATTTTCCTGCATGCAATAGTGTTAAGACATTTCCAGATTTATGGAAAGTCTATTTGCTTTTGAGAAATCATATTTGGAGAGTGATGACAGGAGTTTTCTTGATGTTGAACTTGTGTGTAGTCCTAAATAAAACCTCAAGTAAAGTTAATGTATCCTTCAGTGGAATTTATAAAAAGCTATAGTAATCTTGTGAAAGGATATGTATTATACACACCTTTACCAACCCATAGTTTAATTCTTACATCCTTTTAAGGGTTGTCTAGATTTTTGTGACTGATAAAAAGTGTGATCTATAGAAATGCAATAGAGGACTAAAAGGGCAGTAACATACTTCTTCTCCAAGGAAAGGTTTGTTCATAGTCGAAGTGTCTCAGGGTTTCAATAACAAAACAGACAGAGATTTCCAGCAATAGATAGCTTTGGATGGGAGAAGTATATTGACAAGGGGCCCCCAGTGGGAGATATGACTCAGGATGGAGATTATCAAGAGTATAATCTTTTTTTTTTTGGCAATTGGGGTTAAGTGACTTGTCCAGGGTCACACAGCTAGTAAGTGTCAAGTGTTTGGTCTGAGGACAGATTTGAACTCAGGTCCTTCTGACTTCAGGGCTGGTGCTCTATCCACTGTGCTACCTAGCTGACCCAAGAGTATAATCTAAAATTTGTTTCAAGATATATATTTCCCAGGTTTGGGGATGAAGGGGATATGAGATATGATTGGAGTCATTCAGTCAACACTTATTTATTAAGGGTTTACTGTATGTCAGGCACTATGCTGGAGATACAGACAGTCCTTGTTTTCAAAGAATTAATAGTCTAATGAGGGAGATGACATACAAACAAGATATGAGATAAAATTGGAAATAATCAAAAGAAGGAAGGCACTAGCACTAAGGGGATCAGGAAAGGCTTCATGTGGAAGGTGGGAATTTAACTGTAATTTGAATGGAGCCAGGGAATTCTGGAGATGGAGATGAGGAAGGAGAGAATACCAGGCTTGGGGACCGCCAGTGAAAATGCCCAGAATTGAGAGATGAAGTGTTTTGTGGTAGGAACAGCAAGGAGAGGAATGTCAATGGATCCTAGAATATGTAAGGTGGAGGTTGAGGAGGACTGAAGAGAATTGAGAGCAAGAGGAAAGGAAGTAGAAGCATCAATTGTAGGTGGCCCCAAGGAGTTTGTCCAATATAGGAAACAGAGATAGGGCACAACATCCAGAAGGGATGGACAGATCAAGTGAGGGTTTTTTGAGGAAGGAATAGGCATGGGTATGTTTATAGGCAGTAGGGGAGCAGTCAGTAGACTGGGTGATATTGAAGTGAGAGAGTGGGGAAGATGGGAGGGGACAATCTGCTGAAGAAGATGGAATGGAATGGCATCACTTGCACCAAATAGTTTACCTTGGCAAGGAGAAGAGCCTGTCTTTTGTGAGACAGGGGTAAAGGACATAGTAGGAAAAAGGCATCAGAGTGATGTGAGATGAGGAGAAGAAAAGGGAGCCCTCAGTGAATGGCATCAGTTTTTTATTCAGTGAAATATAAGGTAAGGTCCTCAGCTGAGAGAGTGGGAGGAGAGGGAGCCATAGGAAGGATGAAAAGCTTTAGAAAAGTCAATGTGGTGAGTCAAAGGATTGCCTTATTGCAGTGAGGACCCAGTTGAGATTATGTAGCATAAAATTGTAGTGGACCTAATCAGCCCAGTGTCGAGATTTTCTCTAGTTTCATTCTTCAGCTTGTAAGAGTGAATACAGTGTAAAAAGAAAGGGGGGGGGCAGCTAGGTGGCGCAGTGGATAGGGCACCAGCCCTGGAGTCAGGAGGACCTGGGTTCAAATGTGGCCTCAGACACATAACACTGTGTGACTCTGGGCAAGTCACTTAACCCCAATTGCCTCACCAAAAAAAAAAAAAAAAGTCATCCAAGGTTAAGGCTTGGCAGGGCAGGATAAATGAGCAAGGGACCTGGAAGACAGTGAGGAACTGAACTAGCTCACCAAGGGACAGAGATGGGGAAGGGGGGGGAGTGTAGCCAGTACAAGGATGGTAGACTGGAAAAGAACTGAGGGGTCAAGGGACTGGAGGTCATAGTGAGGACAAAGAACATGGTTTGGGGTGGAAAGGCAGAGGGAGCTGTGGAATGACTATACAAATGTGATTAGATAAGGAATCTCAGTTCATGAATATGGAAGTGGAACATTTGTGGGTGATGGCAAGATTGAGGATATGACTATTCTTGTGTACAGCCATGATAAGGTGGAGTAGGTCATGGGACAT